CCCACCACTCCTATGAAACTGATCCCATCTGCTTGTCAAGATTTGGTTTTCACGCAAATAATTCTGTCAAAAACCATCTCTCTGCAACATCTAAAAAGCTTCTTTTAATTCCTCAACACAGAGATTTTTTCCGTATTTTCTTATCTTTCATTGCTCTCCCATTCTCTCTCAACCATTCTCATATTCCCTCCTCTCATTCCTAACCCAGACCCATAATCCAGGTCACCTTGGGGTGCTATTTTACCTTATTTACCATAGAATGCGTGACTGATGCTATCAAGTGAGTGGTCCACTTCAGCAGTACCTCTCATTTTGGTCAATAATGAATTACTCTTCTTGCTTCTCCTCTTCTCTCCCCTCCTCATCCCCTCTTCCTTGTCTCAATGTCAGATTTCTTTTCGCTAATTTATGTGCTCATACAGATAGTTAGTTGGATAAGCTTATCTGCTTATCCAACGAAACATGTATTCAATCAAATCGTTTCACGGTATTCCGATGTATATTCTGCTCTATGGCAATGCACTCCTCAATAATCTCTGCGTGTCCATAGAGAAGGTGTGTTTGTAATAAGTTTGACGATCCCATCAGGGAGAAAAGAAGGGTGTTGGCGACCTCGAAATGTGCTGCAGGGTTTAGCAGGGTTTCCATAGACAAGGAAATTGGTCTCTTCTGAATGTGTTCTACTCAAATAACTACCATTAGTGTCTGTTACAACCTCAGTCTGATCTCGATGCCAACCCCCAAATTTAAGCAACATTTCTCCCATCTGTGGCCCCTACGCTCTTTGAAATTACGAATAGTTAACTTGACTTTAAGTTTAGAATATTCTATCTGTAATTTGAATTTTACAAAATGTTTATGCCTGGATGTTCACGAATTAAAAGGATTTACATTTATGAAACTAAATTATTTGAATTTGCATGACAGCTGCCGATGATCCCTTCACATTTCTGAACCTTCTCTAGACACCGATTTCCTTCCATTAGACCCATTAGTGTATTTTATTGTTAAAATACTTGGAGTCCACTGGTGTTAATGTTGGTTTAATCGATTTAAATCAGGCAAAGGGAGCTTAAATGTTGAGCAAGAAACCGGACAATCAGCTAATTTTAATGCTGACGTGGCATAAAGTCGACGTTTGTCTCCAGAACTGATTCCCAAATCATCCCATAATCCAAGTCTGTGTTGATGTTTCGCAAACTTCTTCTATGCCGATGGTGTGTTATACATGGAGTAATTCATTATAAATTGTTAAAACTGAGTGAAGCATTCATGACCGAGGTTGATTGGTGTCAATAACTGAGAAGGTCAAACCAAGTGGCAATAGATAAGCGCTTAAATCTATTCAACAGGGGAAGCTTCATTCTTCAAATTGACGATATCCGCCTAGCCGGTTCAACAAAGCAACAATGCAAGAAATCCAATTGGGGGTTCTATCACTTCCTGTGTATTCGCCACACTTCACTCCATCTGATTTTACGTCTTTCAGGTGTAGCGATTTCTAAATGTGAGTGGATTTAAAAACCATTTGAGCGATATTTTATTTAAAAAATAGCAAGATTTTTTCCAAAAATGGGTTAGTAAAACCTCAAGCTTATGGGGATAGAGGCGAAAATGATGAGGGAAATTATATAAGAGCATGGTGTCCATAAATTATGCTTTTTCAAATGCCAAATTTTATTGATACCTCTAATAGATAGTTTGCACTACAAAATTCCAAGTTTATATTTTGTACATTGGAATGCAACAAATACCTGTGCACAATGTTCCATACTCTTCAATCATATCGCTTCATGTATTCGCAATTTTTTCTTTCCATACTGGAGAAGGAAAATCTATTTTAATTGATAACTATCAGCTCCCAGTTGTAGTATAACAGATAAGTAATTAACATTTTAAATTATCAGTTCACTTTCAGTCCTGTTCACTCAAAGTGGATAACACTTGTGAAAAGTTTTTGCGATAGACTTATCTCTACGTGGTGCATCCTGGGCAACGTATACTCATACGGCATACAAGTCTATTAACCGGCAGTTGACTTCTCACTTCAAACTACGATGACCCGAATGTATGCCATATTCGACCACTTCCTCGGTATTCACCTTTTTTCTACCTTTGTGTCTGTCTCTTTTACATCTTTCAAACACTCTTCTGTTCTCCCCCCCAATCTTAACCTTTTTCACTTTCTTCACCTTTTTTCTACCTTTGTGTCTGTCTCTTTTACATCTTTCAAACACTCTTCTGTTCTCCCCTCTCGACTTTTTCTCACTTTGCCTGTTTCTCTCCTCTGTGAAGCCTGAAGTCAACTAAAGGGCCAATGATAACCATCAAAACGCCTACAATTTTAAATAAATAAATTAATATTTTCAATCATAGAAATAGCTGCCCAAAATTTATTCCTTAAGACCACTTCTTCATTTGTTCTAATATCATACCTCGCACAGATTTGCATCTTCATCTGACTCAACTCTCGTTTTCTTAAATTGATTTTTGACTCTTTCCATTATTTAAATCCGGCTTTAATGATTAATGTTTCAGAATCGCAACTCTTCAAATTTGTGTCTATTTTGTATTTACTTGCTATTAACTCGTAAAATATGTGTGCTAGGTCGGGGCATTCCTTTGTATCTAATTTATGAAAATTTATACTCGTATTTTAGTCAAGAAGAAGCACAGAAGATAGATGAAGAGCTCTTCAATGAATATGCGTTCTCCGTTGATCAACTTATGGAGTTGGCCGGTTTCAGCTGCGCCGTGGCAATTCAACAGGTGAGTTCCACTTTCCGTTCTGAATTCTCTTTCATCGAAATCTAAAATTTTGAGCGGTCATCTGGACATTCCATTAGTTTCAAAGTATAATTTTTCGATTCTCATGTATTTTGGGACCACCTTTGAGACCACATGCCCATAAAACTATTTTGATCGCTTACATTTAAAACTAGCTTTTCGACAGTTAGTTTGAGGTTCTTCAGCAATTGGTCATCTGGGGTGCACAATAGACTTACCTCCACGTGGTGCACCCTGGGCAACGTATACTCATACGGCAAAAAAGTCTATTAACTGGCGGTTGACTTCAAACTACCATCACTCCACTGTATGTCATAGTAGACCACTTCCATAGTACTCACCTCACTTCTTTTTCTACCTTTTTACCTTCTTCGTTGAAACACTCTNTGTGTAAATAGTCGAATATGGCATAGAGTGAGGTGATGGTAGTTTGAAGTGAGAAGTCAACTGCCAGTCAATAGACTTTTTTGCCGTATGAATATACGTTGCCCATGGTGCACCACGTGGAGGTAAGTCTATCGCACACCCCAAGTTGGCTGAATATAACTATAACATGAGCATAGCAATATCCCAAGATTATATATCTAAATTGCTTGCTCATTTTTCCTTAAATTAAACGGCTGTTGAGTAAATTAGAACGTCTGATTTGGGCAATAAAAGAAAGACCTGTGATCGTAGTTTTAATAGACCTCCCTCTCACAGAGACGTGCTTATACCGCCCTCCTGACCTACATAAAGGACACTAAGAGGGCTGTTGCTATGCAAATGATTTTATCATCAGCCTTTGACCGTATTCAAAGAGGCAGTTGGTTTCAATGACTCAATTTCCATTAGCATACATCATATTCGCTTTCTCCAGTTCCCATATTTGTAATTCTATACGCCCAAAACCACCTTCAAATCTTTTAGGAAATAAATATTTACCCCATGAAGTGAAGAGACTTGCCCTTGACCACTTCAATTTGCTCCAATATGTATTTTTTTACTTATATCAAATGACAGCCTTTATGATGGTAACATTAGCCCTTTGGTTGACTTCGGGCTTCACAGAGAGGAGGAGGAACGTCAAAGTCAGAAAATAGAGAGAGGGAACAGAAGAGTGATTCACAGATGTAAAATCGACAGACAGGCGCAATGGTAGAGAAAAGGTAAGGTGAATGCTGTGAGAGGGGTCGAATATGACATAATAGTGGGGTGATGGTAGTTTGAAGTGAGAAGTCAACTGCCAGTTAATAGACTATTTTGCCGTATGAGTATACGTTGCCCAGGGTGCACCACGTGGAGGTAAGTCTATCGCACACCCCATGTCTTGAAATAAATGGGAACTGTTTGACCAACTGGCTAGGATATTTAATTGTCAGGCTTGCTAAGCAAAAATAATAATTGGTAATCCAATATCAAGCCGGTGACTTCTATTTGGCTATTTAACATCAAGATTCATTCTTCCAATTTCGCAGGCCTATCCAAAGTCATCAATGAAGACTTCTGACGGTGGCGTTCTTATCTGCTGTGGGCCGGGCAACAACGGTGGGGATGGTTTGGTATGCGCTCGTCATCTCAAACTCTTTGTAAGTTTTTTTCGTACACCCCTCCCCCTCCCACCATGCTTCAAAATTTATAATGTTAATAATCTTGGAAATATGCGTCAGCACTCTCCTAGAATTTCTTATCGCTAGTTGTGTAGCAAGTTGTTAACTGAAAACTTTGCTATGGTCGCCATCTCGAGTTCCCTTAACCACCACTCCCAATGTACTCGTAATTAAAAGTCCAAAGTGACTGACTTTGGGGATATGTTTTCCACATTTTTTAACTGTCAGCCCATATTAGGGGTTTGAATAGGCGGCTAAGATAAAGTTGAAGCGTTTTTTCAATCCTAAATTTAGCAGAGTTCAAAATCTCTATTCGGATCGATGGAATTCAGTCTAACTTTTTGATGCCGGACTGAAAAATAACTGAATAAAAGTATATTTGTGAAAAGTAATGATCGATGTATTCATACTATCGGGAACAGTTGGTTTTATGACTAACATACAATGAAAAGATCTCAAATGGAAGGTGTTTTGTTAGTTATCATTAGCCCGTTAGCTGACTTCGGGTTTCACAAAGAGGAGGAGGAGGAACATCAATGTGAGATAAAGTCGAGAGGGGGAACAGAAGAGTGATCCGCAGGTGTGAGTGCTGTGGAAGTGATCGAATATGACATACAGTGGGGTCATGGTAGTTAGAAGTCAGTTAATACACACTTTTGCTGTGTGAGTATACGTTGTCCAGGGTGCACCACGTGGAGGTAAATCTATCGCACACCCCATTATGAAAGGATCTAAACATGGAAAAACAGTTAAGCCACTCAAATCAGGTTGCCGGTTCAGTGTGGCATGTGGTGGTGGTGGGGTGAGAGAGGGGAGAAGGTCTCATAAATCTTGCTGAATATGCTTAAATTAGCAGCAATGGTACACGTTTTCACAAGATATAGCGTCTGAACTGGAATCACTTAGTTTTATGAAATATCATGAAACAAAGGAGCACTGCATGTATGAACGCGTTTCATTGAACGATCTATGAAGTTTCTTTTGAATCATTAGTAGTTTCACAAAGTTCCCTCTTTCCTACTCGATTCCTTCGCATCTTTGTTCACTTCTACCAAATAAAACAGTTTTAAAGAGTTATTCCTCAATTATACTTCTCTTCGAACGAAGCCAATTTGCTTTCCACTTGAAGGGTGCTTTAGGAATATCAAAAAACAATCAATTATTTAGCATTACTTTAATTTTATTTCGGGTTCCAATTTGAACTTGTACATTATTAATGGCTTTTTAATTTAAATCACCTTCCCATTATCATATTTATTTTATCAATACAATTATTTTATCAAATACAATTATGTTTTGGTCCAAATGCATTAGGGAATTTCCTGGTGCAATTAATTTTCATTTAATTATGCTAATAGCCGTTCTGAGTTGATTAATGAAACCCTTTCCCTAAGACGCATCTTTTTACTATTATGAGTAATTAGTTTAACGATTTTTAAACATTATTTACACTTGAATTTATATTTGCTTCTGCTTAATTTTAATGACTCATTCTCTTCTCTACTCATTCGTCTACTCATGTTTGTCGTTTTTGTCATTTCCAGAAATTCCCTTAATTAGAAACACGCCTTCATATGCCAACATCCATTAATTTCGATTCTGTATTTCCAATATTCTTTGTTTTTTTGTTGGCTTATCAATAATCGATCATAGTTCGCTGGTATTTATAGCCCTTGTTAGCAAGACCTACTGAAATATGCTGTCAGGGTAGAACTTCACTTTTCACCAAAACAATCAAGCCAGGGGAGAAATCCTCATTGGACATTATTCCCCTTGACCAATGAGCATTTTATTTGCGCTAAAAAGGGTACTAATTTCACAGTTTACTACCCAAACCCTCACGCGGGGATTTCAAGTTATTCAGGGAAAGAATTGTAGAATATTAATTTCTGAGTGTGAAGTGTTGAAGTGTCCATTAAGTGGATCTTCTTTATTTCTAATCCGAAAATCGAAGCTATCTTCTCTATCCTTTCCTCCTTATTCTTTTTTTGAACTTTACTTGTCCTATTTCTGTTAGTTTCTTATAATTAAAAAAAAAGTAAATTTTACTACATCTCTGTGTATCAGGAAAATGTGGTAGGTCTGGCCGTCTCGCCTTTGTTCGAAAATTCAACCTTGTTTATGTTCTGCACATTGATTTGAACGGTTGGCAAAGCACGGTGAAATCATCGTTCCGTTTCTTTGTGAACCGTCGTGAATACTGGCTTTGCCAATAATAAATTTTTAATTTTATTCCTAGTCTAGAATACATATTTTACTGTTATTTAGACTAATAGGGTGTTGGGGGCGATAACTTCTACTGGCTACTATTTGGTTGCTTCTTTTTCCAAACATCTTAAAGGTCATCAGGTACTCTCCGCGCCAATTAAAAATTTAAACGCTTCTTTCACCATGTACTTGATGATACTGAGAATGAATAATGACTAGAACCCCCGCCTGAATCATTGAAGAGAATAGCATTTTACATGGCTGTTCGTTTCTCAATACTTCTTCAACACTACGTAAACGATCCAGAAAGAACGGGTGAGTTTCAATTGTGAATACGAGGCTGCTACGGCTGGATGAAAGACGTCAACAGATGCTCTGATCCGATTTGTTGTAGAAAAATGTGTTATAACACCTTAACATAAATCGGATTTGTCGCCATAGACAGCTGAATGCTTCGGTCTTTACATGGCACTTGGACTCAAGAAAGACCTTCAATACCGCAATCTCAAACAGCCGTCACGTGGGTCACCTCCTCATTTAAAAGGGTTATGAAAGTTCTCGTTTTAACATCCTGCTGAAACACATGCAAGCCATTCCAACAATTAGAATGAGAGGTGGCTTGGCTTGCAATGTGTGTTAATCTCCACCCCACTTTTGCACAAAAAATGGCTTAAGTCGAATTCTCTTGTCTACATGAAATTTCTATCTACTGTAGTGGTTAGTGGTAGTGAATAACAAATGAGGGCTTGACAGTATCAGGGTTCGGCCCATTGTCACACCTCAGTGGGGGGGCTAAAATTGGTTGCCAGCAAATTTTTACGACTCACACAGTCCCAGTGGCTGGCCTTCTCTCAGAAATAAATCAGCTTTGAGACCTTTCCTAGGGCCAGTGTAAAATCAGTGTGTTGCAGTTCCCGGTGTTGTTATCAGGACCGGATTGAGAATATTATTATTATTATTTCAAATGGCAGGCGTTTTGAATGTTATCATTAACCATTTAGCTGACTTTGGGCTTCGCAGATAGGAGGAAAATCAAAGTGAGAACAATTCGGGAGGGGGAACAGAAGAGTGATTCACAGTTGTAGAGGAGACAGACAGACACAAAAGGTGAAAAAAACACCCGAAAAGGTAATAATCAGGTGGAGTGAAGTGTGGCGAATACACAGGAAGTGATAGAACCCCCAATTGGATTTCTTGCATTGTTGCTTTGTTGAACCGGCTAGGTGGATATCGTCAATTTGAAGAATGGAGCTTCCCCTGTTGAATAGATTTAAGCGCTTATCTATTGCCACTTGGTTTGACCTTCTCAGTTATTGACACCAATCAACCTCGGTCATGAATGCTTCACTCAGTTTTAACAATTTATAATGAATTACTCCATGTATAACACACCATCGGCATAGAAGAAGTTTGCGAAACATCAACACAGACTTGGATTATGGGATGATTTGGGAATCCGTTCTGGAGACAACCGTCGACCTTATGCCACGTCAGCATTAAAATTAGCTGATTGTCCGGTTTCTTGCTCAACATTTAAGCTCCCTTTGCCTGATTTAAATCGATTAAACCAACATTAACACCAGTGGACTCCAAGTATTTTAACAATACAATCCACTAATGGGTCTAATGGAAGGAAATTGGTGTCTAGAGAAGGTTCAGAAATGTGAAGGGATCATCGGCAGCTGTCATGCAAATTCAAATAATTTAGTTTCATAAATGTAAATCCTTTTAATTCGTGAACATCCAGGCATAAACATTTTGTAAAATTCAAATTACAGATAGAATATTCTAAACTTAAAGTCAAGTTAACTATTCGTAATTTCAAAGAGCGTAGGGGCCACAGATGGGAGAAATGTTGCTTANGGGTTGGCATCGAGATCAGACTGAGGTTGTAACAGACACTAATGGTAGTTATTTGAGTAGAAGACATTCAGAAGAGTGCAATTTCCTTGTCTATGGAAACCCTGCTAAACCCTGCAGCACATTTCGAGGTCGCCAACACCCTTCTTTTCTCCCTGATGGGATCGTCAAACTTATTACAAACACACCTTCTCTATGGACACGCAGAGATTATTGAGGAGTGCATTGCCATAGAGCAGAATATACATCGGAATACCGTGAAACGATTTGATTGAATACATGTTACGTTGGGTAAGCAGATAAGCTTATCCAACTAACTATCTGTATGAGCACATAAATTAGCGAAAAGAAATCTTACATTGAGACAAGGAAGAGGGGGAGGAGAGAAGCAAGAAGAGTAATTCATTATTGACCAAAATGAGAGGTACTGCTGAAGTGGAGCACTCACTTGATAGCATCAGTCACGCATTCTATGGTAAATAAGATGAAAGAGCACCCCAAGGTGACCTGGTTTATGGGTCTGGGTTAGGAATGAGAGGAGGGAATATGAGAATGGTTGAGAGAGAATGGGAGAGCAATGAAAGATAAGAAAACACGTAGAAAATTCTCTGTGTTGAGGAATTAAAAGAAGTTTTTTAGATGTTGCAGAGAGATGGTTTTTGACAGAATTATTTGCGTGAAGACCAAATCTTGACAAGCAGATGGGATCAGTTTCATAGGAGTGGTGGGTGCAAGTGCGTGTGTAGTGATTGCAGTGGAATATTTTCAAGCAACCATCGATTCAGTAACAATTGTACCACTCAAACTCGATGTTATCTACCTACTAACAATCTTAGTTTCCCTTTTTAATCGTTTTGTTTATGTTGACCCAAAGCATTCCAGTTGCTTTTGATGTCCCTCTCTTGAGAACTGGTATTTTCTATGGTTGGCGAATTCGAAACAGGGTGTGTTTTATAAACTTCAGGAATAAATGCACAGTCTTACTTTAAATAATTTAATTTTATCAGCTTGCAAATGATCTGGCTTGCTTCTAACCAATATATTCTTTCTTATGTTTTTATATTTCCCATATTTAATGTGAACTTAAAATTTTGTGAACCTCTGTTCCTTTATTGCATATCGGTTTATCACAGCAGTGTACTTAACCCGAATCTTGCTTTTATTGGTTATGCAGCAGCCAATCACCCACTCCTTCTCAAGGCTCATAAATGGTGGAAATTTATGTTCATTCCACCAGGTATGGTTGATATACAACCCGACTCTATCAATGCCAACGTAGCTAATGTTTCACCTTCGATAAAGCTTTATTCTAAGGTGTCAGTTATTTCCCCAATTTCACGTTACCAAGATACCGTTCTCAGTGGGTGAGAAATGTAAATGATTAAAGGTGGGAAAGTGGGCTGGTTCCTTTTTGAAAAGTTACAATAATGCCTCACACACGACTTTGTGGATGCAGAAGAATAGGGAAGTGATGATGGTAATTTGGCCCAAAAGAGAAGTGGTATTGTTCACCAGTGTGTGGCAATTAATTTGCAGACAAGCGAATAAAAGGGTGACTTGGGAATAAGACCAGTAGTCTACTCGAAATGAAAGAAGAGAGTGACTGATTACACGTATATTCCACTTGGCTTCTTGCTTTCATCTTAATTCAACTTCGAATTAATTACAATGAAAGTGCACTAATTGAGGAGAAATCCCCCATTCGATAACTAATATTTCAAGATAGTCAACACATCTCAGAAAAACTATTGTGTTTTGTCTGTTTAGTTC